TTTTTTGGTTGCAGCCATCATTGTTGTTTGGCGGGCCTGGGCTGGGGATTCGAACCTGCCACCTTAGGTATATGTGGCTGGCACCTTAGCCGCTTGAGCCACAGGCGCCAAGCCCTTGGCTATTTTTAGAGACAGGTCTCTCTCTTGCTCAGGCTGGTCTCCAGCCTGTGAGCTCAGGCAATCTACTCACTTTAGCCTCCCAAGTGCTAAAGATTGCAGGCGTGAGTCAATTTTCTGGTGTATCAGGAGTGCATTTATATTGATAAATTCATACTGTGCACTTGGGTCCCCAACAGCCACCTGCTAAAGCATAGGAGAAGGGGTTGTGTAATAAGCACATTTCCACAAAGAGGGTTTCCCTGACAACACAACAATGAAAGAATAAGCTCCTAGCTATCACCACAATGCAGGGGACCAGGACATTGTGGGACACAGAGGCTTGGCATAGAACAGCCACATGGGCTCCTCTCTCCATCTCCCCTGGGGCCCACACTAAGCAGACGACAGGAAGCTCACCTGATAGGACAGGGCTCTGTACCATGGCAGTGCTGACAGGAAGTGTGCCTGCAGCTGCCTTTCAGGGACCATGTCTGTTGTGACAGCCACCAGTGAGGCAGCTGGCCTACTTACCTTTAAGCTGAACTCTGGACTGTGAAAACCAAAGAGGAAATGGCCTAACACTCTAGCTCAGGCAAGCTGGAACATCTCTCCACTGTACTCTGACTCTCCTTTTAGGGCTCCAGCAGCCTGGGCCACCGGGAGAAGCAGCTAATCCAAGTTGGGTTCTAGCTTGCGCTTCTTAAACCACAGCTTATCTGTTTTATTTTTATTTTTCAGACTGTCTTACAGCATCAGCCTCAAACTCCTGGGCTCAAGTGATCCTCTTGCCTTAGCCTCCCAAGTAGCTGGGACTACAGATGCCCTCTACCACATCCAGCTGATTTTTCTATTTTGTGTGGAGATGGAGTTTCACTATGTTGCCTAGGCTGGTCTCGAACTCTTTGAGCTCAAGGGATCCTCCTGCCTTGGCCTCCCACAATGCTAGGATTACATACATGACCCACTGTGCCCCACACTGTCTGTGTTTCAGATGCACTAATCTCTGGGAGGGGACACCAGAAGCTTTTTCTATGAAGACAAAGCCTGGAGGTGCTGAGGTTGGCATGAGGACCCGTACTCCCGACAAGGGCAGGACTTACACGCTGCTGTCTGTGAGGGACAGGGTGTCTGCATCACTGGACAGGCTCTGCTGCTCACTGTCATTGGCACTGGTGGCTGGGGCCAGGGCATAGCCGGCATTGACGTAGCAGGAGTTGACTGGCTCCCTCCAGGATCCATACCTACAAACAAGCAGCATGTTAGTGGCAGCCTGCCAATAGCCTCTTATTTTAATCCACATTTTCAGAATTATCGCAATATCCTAATGTATGAATTTATTTATTTATTTTTGCAGTTTTTTTTTTTGAGACAGAGCCTCAAGCTGCCCCCCTGGGTAGAGTGCCGTGGCATCACAGCTCACAGCAA